ATCAGAAATGCCGTGCTTTAGAATTCGGTCGAACGTGGAATGCAAGAACTCTATTTGCGAGTTCGATTGGCCATGAATTCAAATAGACTTAGCGTCAAATAAGCACGCAAAAAGAGTTTTCCAATTTCATTATCCTTCCTTTAAGATGACTATTTCTTTGTTAGGCAAAGTCCATTGACTTTGACTGGAAAAATAATCCATGTTGTACGAGAAGACAAGTAAATCGATGTATAAACATTTCAAGCTAATAATAATATGCATGAGAACTCAAACTCAAAAAATGACAGTCTGAATCTTTTTATTTAGTAGTATTTACAGAAGTATGCACGGGCGTGAATAAATCCACAATACCAATTGTTCGTAGCATGTTCAATCGAAATTTTAATTTTCCCAGTTTAAGCAACATTTAGTTGAATATGACTTTGTCAGATAATCATATCTCGTCATGCCTATTATTTTCACCATTTTTAACATTTCAAAACCAACCTATTGGAAATCTAAACTGGCCATTTTATTCTTCTTTCAATGACACGAAGCACAGATAATCTTCAAATTGATTTGTAAATATGCTCCTTATTTTTAGGTCAGGAAATGGATTCTCTGAAAGACTTTCTTAAGGAAGGGGAAAAAATTGATTGGGAAGATATAAAGAATGTAGTTACAGCAAGCGCCCTCTGCAAAGAAAAAGATCCTATTGACAAAGCATTTGAGGTACACTACGTGAGTTACATGCGCACGTTGAGTTTCTCACTGTCACTGTTTAGTTTTCTTTAAAAGACATCGCTCAATATCGTCCTGAGGTTAATAATTTGTTAATAATTGGTTAATGAAGGCTTTCCAGAATGTATTGTTATTATTACTTGTACATAACTAGGTTTTGGAAGTATGCTGCTAAGCTTCGTGAGCTGATGAGAATAAACAACTTCGAGCCCCCATCTAGACCGCCGTCGTTGGTGAATTTCTATCGTGGTGTAGATGTTTTTGAGAAGACAGCAGTCTTAGAACACGATAACAAAACAAAACACGTTTTCCTATGATTCATTGTTAATTTCATTGATCATGATCCACTGGTACACCTGTACGGCTGGATAAACCATCCAACATGTTCAAATGAGACATCGCTCTGATAAAGCGTGAATCCCTGAAAGAAAGCACAACGGTCTGTCAGTAACAAGCGGATATCTAATGAAACAACACCATCTTTTCGACATAATGATGAGAATCAAATGTACTGCTAACAGCGTCCCAAAACGCATTATTTGTGGATGAGCTGAGATAAAGGAATGCTTTAGCAGACTCTATATTGTTTAGTAATAAATCTGAAAAGGAAACGAGAAATAAATCTCTTGAACTCCTGGTATCTAAAAAAAATATAAGTTGGAATTTGTGATCTCTAGCCATTATCTGAGACTCTTTGAGTTTCGAGTGAATCGTCGCAAAGAATTTTATGCGCAATATGATTTCATCATTCAACTTATCATTTGTTCATTCTTGTTCTCTCCATGCAGGTTCATATAAAACTTTGTCAAATCGCTAAAACAAGTACGGAGAATACGAAAGCGATTGAAAAGTTAGCTGATAGAGTGGATGACTTTGCTTATGATTTATTGGACCAAGTGAAACGAATTGAAGAAGAAGAATTACATGATGAAGCTGCGGACCGCTACGCCTCCCTGTTCAGTGAAATGACGGCTAAAGCAATTGCTAAAGGGCGGAAAAAGGTGCACTATAACTTCTACCTAATTCCTAATTTTTCACTACTGGTTTCATTTATTATACACAACTTGCTGATTATTTTGCAGTTTGTATCCCATCCATTCATTTTCAAAAGAGTAGAAAAACGGTGGAAACTTGGCTTATCGAAGGAATTTCAGTCACGACCGCTTCATCGCATTCTTCTCTTGCTGATCATGATGCTTGACGCAATACTTACTCCGGTTATGCTCCCATTGAATGCATATGTTTCATTCAAAAACCAACAGGGAACAAATTTGACCAATATCCAAGGTATTTTGAAACGTTAGTTACCACTGACGATGAAGTCCTTCATATGACTATCCTCAGCTGGGAAATTAGACAACTGGATAAAATGTTACCCCCGAGTTCAAATCATTTATTTACTGTGGCGAGGCTAGGATTGTGCATGCATTTGCTTGACGACGTCGGGTTTGGTATGAAATATGGTGTCATAGTAAGTGCCATGCTAAAAACCTTAGCTTTATACTGCACGGAGGTGGTGCATATGACAAGTTTTTGCTTCTGGTAGAATCAACGTTTATTCAAAATGCTTTTCTGTATGTGTACAAAGACTTTAGACCATTTTTATTGTACACGTTTCCTTCAGTGCTTGAAAGAGCTGAGAAGATGTTCAAAGCCTGATACTAGTTGAAATTTTATGCAAATTTTGCGACTACGAAATATTTAATCTACCTTACTTTTATTTACTCCATAGGCATTTATGCAAAGTACCTCGAGACTCCCTACGTCATTTTCATGAAGACTCAATTTATGCAACTGATCTTCATTGGACTTTTCTTTCGGATATCCATGATTGGTTCGTCTATCGCTCCAACCGTTGAAGAGAGCTTTATATTACTCTTCTTTATTGGATTTGTTGTTAGTGAGATCCAACAGTATCGAAGTTCAGCATCGAAGGTTTATTTAAGGTAAACGAAACTTTAGGCACGCGTTATAATTGTAGCCTGCTGCTAACTCGTGATCCGCATCGGAATCAGTCGGGGTTTTGCTGCTGTTGTTGCCATTATTTTTTTTGGTTGTTGTCTTTTTTTCTTCGTTATGATATGCTAAGGAACGTCCCTTAAAGAAGAATATTGAAAACAAACTTTCGCTCGGGTTAGTTGGCCAAAAAAAAGGGAAAGGTGAGTTCTGCTTGTTGATGCAACTGACTTTTCACATTTCTTATCTCGTGATGACATGTCCTACCAACTGAGCCACAGAACACTGAGTTTTCTTGTCCATATTTGGTGGTGAGTCAGGGTCACGCAGGTGCTTAAATGGCACGTATTGTTATCAATCAAAGCTACCGTCTTTTTCATTTAAATTTTTTTCCAAGGCCACAGAATATTCAGAATTGTTAAAAATATATATATAAACATTTCGAAAGTGCTCTAGAAAGTCAGTTATTAAGTTTAGTACCTGTGAGATAACTTGAAAAGAAAAGCTGCAAATTGTCAGAAACTTTGGGGTAAAAAAATCTTGACCGCCAGCGGAACATATAAAAGGCCACCATGATATTCAAATGGCTACATAGGTTGGCTCCGGACTATTAAACTTCGAAATTCTCTGAACGTAATACAAGGTACGACCAGTGGGACTCCGATAATATTACCTCCGAGAAAAAATTCAATGTTCGATTTTTATGCACAGATAACTTCAAAAAATTTTTTTTAGTTATAGTGTTGCCAAATGTCGGAATAGCCTTCCTTACAAGGCGCGGCGTTCACTGAAAGCAGCTTCTCAAAATGCTAAGTGTCGTTCATGGTTATAGTTATAGTTGTGTAGCTATAGTTTGATCCTTTTTTGAATAGCAAATGAAGTGCCCGTGGTTAAATGAAGTTTATTGATTGATTGTTCATTAGAACTTCAGACGATCGCACCTAACCCGCAAATATTCTCGTTATTTGACTCAATGAAATGACTTTTTCTTTTTGTTTGCTTTTTTTTTTTTGGCAGAGACATTTGGAACTACTTGGATGTGTTGATAATGCTCGTTTACGCCTTCGTCATTACAGTTCGAATAGTAACTGTTATCATTGGTGGTGATCCCTATAAAAATCGTTTGTTGGAACTCGCTCATTACGGTTATGGATTCGATGGCATGCTTCTTATTCTACGATTTTCCAGCATCCTAGAGCTCAGTTCAGTTATTGGTCCACTACAACTGGCGTTGTTTCACATGTGTCTTGACTTACTGGTCATACTTATCCAGTTTGGTTTTGTCATTGTCGCATTCTCGTTGGCCATCACTAAGTGTTACACAGCTGAGACATCCTTCCTGACGCCCTTGAACAGCGGATCAAATAGTGTAGAGTAAGTTCCATTGTTTTCTTCTCATATTACTTTGTAGGAGCTTTTTTAAAATTTCACAACATAAAGTTTCCTTAAAAAACCCGAACGCGTATGGATTTTTGAACGCAAAATCAATATCTAAAATAAAAACCATTAAATCATTATCTACCTGTCTTCAAAAGTGCTTGATCTATATTTATGTCTAATAGCGAATGGTACAAGAAGTAATATAGACTCTGCTGTTTTCATTTGCACTGCCAATTTTCCATACTTTATTTCTGCAGTGCTTTACTAAACGAATTTCCCTTATCTAGCTTTTGTTTGAGGCTCCGAAAATACACATGCCTTCGAATAGAATTCCTTTCTTCACTTCGCCAGCTCTTAGATTTATTATCAGTGGGCGGGTCAATTGAGTTGTCTTTTCTTCCGTTGAAAGGTGAAGCACTATTTTGCGAAATGTTATTGGCCGTTTCAACGCAGACTGCCATTCTTTAAAAGTAATATCCAGTTTAAAAGGGGCTTCTCACGATGTATTCTATCTTAATATAATCATATTGCTATTGTTTTTTTAATATTGTTAAAGGTACTGCGTTGAAGGCAGTTTGAATTGGTAAGTCAACTACGCTGATAGTTAAATTATCACTTATCCTGTTTCATCTCTTCTTGTCTTATATCATTTTATCTTATCTCAACATAATTCAAGAAGAACAAAACTAATCATCATTTCAAAACTCTTAAACAATCTCGCGTGTTTATTTCAGCTTCTTCAAGTCTGCAAGGCAGCTAGTCTGGTCTGTATTCGGAATGACCCATTTCGAGGAGATGGAATCCGTCACTAGTTTAACCTCGGACATCGTTGTTTTTCTGTACTTGGTTTTCTTGGTTTTGTCAGTCATTATGTTGGTTAATATTTTGATAGCCTTGTTGACAACCACATATGACAAATACAAGGTAATAGCTAATGAATAAAGAGATAATAATAACTTCTTACTAACTGAGTGCGAGGGCCGTAATGGGGAATATTGGCTTGAGGTCGTAGCAGTGCGGACCGAGCGCAGCCAGGTCCGTACGAAAAAGACTAAGGGCCAATATTCCCCAGTGCAGTTTGAGCAATCGAAGTTAGTAAGTAAGATTTTCCCTCTCCATTGCAGCAAACAAATTCTCACAACTTCAAAATGTTCGTTTGAATCTACTTACAGTGACTTTCCTTGCCATCGAAAACTCAACAGAAGTCAATCTTGGTAGATTATAGTCGGCGATGGAAGTAAACAACACGGAAAAGATAGTCGTCATAGTTATTTAACTCGAGTTTGTTTGTCAAACTAACACCAGCGAACGGATCTAGGGGAGGGGCCTGGGGGGCCCGGCCCCCCGGTCCCCCCCCCCCTTATTTCCAGAAAAAAAAAGGAGAATCGCAGAAGGAAGAAAAGCCGGCAGGGCAAGCGAAAAAAACCGGGCTCCACTTTAGTTTGAGGTCTGGATCCGCTACTGAACACTGTCCTTCAATCAAAAGTTTCCTGCGCCTTTCTTTTCCCACGCATTCTCTAATTGGCAGGTGTCGGATCGTGATAGATACTCAGAAAAAAATGTTTCAAAGTTTGCTTTGAAGCCCTTTTAAATTACAGTATTTGTCCATGCGGAAATGGAAAAATGTTTCGATGAAGCCTTCAATTTACATTACCTCTGTTTTCGAAACTACCTGCTTGCTGAAAAAATGTTTTTTTTAAGAAGGATCTTGCCTTAATTACAACTCTCAATCATTTGGGTTCTTTTTGCAAGCATTTCTTTAAGTTTCCGGAAAAAAAATAAAAATGTTATACACCAGCTTAGCTTCGTCCGTATTGGGAAAAACCATGCCCTCTGTCTTGAGTGCTGATCCAAAACCTCGGGTACAGTTTTTTTCCAATACGGACCTCCCGGCTGATGAATAACATATATACATCCTTTGAAAATGCTCGCCTTGGTTTTTTCTTTTGGTAATACTGTGAACCGAGAATATATGGATCATTTTCCATTACTATTCGTTTATTTATACGCTCGATTAACTCTTTTAATATATTAATTTTTTAAATTATTTTTTTACATAGACTAACGCAGAAATGGAGTGGAAATTCTCACGCGCAGTTATTGAGGAACAGTACAGACGCATGCACTTAGTTGTGGTACCGTTCAACATAATTTCTGAACCACTGAAGGCCTTATATTTTGCACAATTTTCGGATAGTCTGGCCAAGGTACTAGAGTTAAAGTCCAAAAGAATTTATTGTATAGTATAAGTAGCTTTGGAGAGCTTTTGTTGTTGTTTTCAATAATACATGGGTCGATTAAAAGTGGCGAGCCTCAGCTAAGAGAATTAGCGTCGCAGCTTTCCACATGTCTACCAGGCTAACGAAATTAGCCTCCATTTTCTCCCGCCTTGACGGCAACAGGAATAAGCTCGCATAAATTAAGCCACCGTTGATCAGGTAAAAAGTGCCTAACGAGTGGAAAAACGCTAATGAATTAGTTGCTCCTAATTTTAGTTAATTATGTTTGTGATCGGTTGAGATGGCGGCGTAAATTTTTCAAACCAATCACAGAATGAATGAAAGAAAAGCCAATCCAATCCCGGATTATTTTCAAACTTATCAAATATCTCGTTGAGGCTCGAAGAATGGTTTTACATGTAAGAGCGATAAGTTAGAGCTACTCTACATAAGAATATTGAAGAAATATTCAAACTTACTTTAAATTTCTTCTTTTTGTACTCATAGAAAAAGGAAGAGAGGACCGTGAAGTACGAGAGGTTTTTTAAAGAGAGGTTTTTCCCTAAAATAACAGAACGCTACAAGAAAAAATATAAGGGATCATTTCCGTCAACAGGTACATGGTTACTAAGTACAGGTTCAGTTTCCAGCCTTTTAGTGATTAAATAACATAACATAACATCACATAACATAACACAACGTATTTATTCAAGATGAAAAAAACAAAAGTAATAAAACATCTCGAACAGGAAAACTGGAGGTTAACCCTATGATGTTTCCCGAAATAAAATGTAAAACAGCAAAAGGTATATACAATAAGAGAGATTCAAGAACTAATTCAGCTATGTACAATAAAAGGCTCATAAGCTATATACAACAAAAAAAATTCAAAAACTATTTACAAGAGATAAAATTGATAAAATTGATAAAAAAGACAAGCAGCTAACGGATATTTAAAAAGCGCTTCAACGCACTCTTAAAGCGGCTCAGGCTCCCAGCCTCAACGATGGATCCTGTTAGGCTATTGCAGTCCTGTGCGATTCGGATAAAAAAGGAATATTTATAGGGATTACACTTTGCTGGCTTAACGTAAAGCTTATAAGGGTGGTTGGCACGGGTTGAATTACACTTTTGTAAATTCAAATAGATTGTCAATGTTTGGTTTGTTCAAGTCATTAAAAACTATCTTACAACATTTAGCTAAAGAGAGCAATAATCGGCGTGTTTCGAGTGTGGGCCACTTCAGCTTCCTTAAACGTTCTTCGTATTCCATCTCACCACGTTTTTGGCCGAGAGCAAGCCGAGAGGCTCTTCGCTGAACTCTTTCTAACGCTAGGACATATTTAACCAAATATAGCTTCCAAACCGGAGCAGCATATTCTGGAACCGGACGTTCCAGAGATTTGTATAACGTAGAGAACGCACCGGGATTCGACGAGCTAACTGCTCTGTAAACCAAGCCCAATAACTTGTTAGCCTTATTAACGGTCACGATATCACTTATCCCCTCCACAAAATTGAAACGTCTTTTCTTTTAGGTAGAATGTTAATTCCTTTATTTTCTCTCTCACCTGTATCCATTTAGGCGACAGAAAACTAGATAAGCTGGGAGAAAACCTCAATTCCGTGAGGAATGATCTAGAAGAATTGAAAAATCAGGTAATTTTGTTCACATAACATGGCGAATTAAAATCACCCTGACCTCTTTATGTCCAATTGGTTATATGTTTCGGCGTTGCTGTAGTGAGACACATAACTCATAATAGCACAATACTGTATACAACTTGTTCAAGAAAAGTTGGCGGGAAAAAGAATACGGTACCACTCGATCATCTCGGAAGACATTATAGATATTCGGTAGGTAGGTGTTAGGTATTTGATAAGTCAAATGAATAAATTAATTAATAAGTTCATCACACCTACTGTGGTTCGTATTTACAGTGAATTCTGTACGATATTCCTTAAATGATGAGGCCAAGGAATCGTGACCAGAAAACTACTCCCATTGACTTTCGGGGTTGTCGCTCGCATTGTACCCCTTTTTTGCTGACAATCTTGTGTGTGTTCTCCCGTAATAAATGCCTTAAAAATGTTTTTTCTCTATATGAAGACAGCTCTCAGTTTTTATATGTCCCAAGAAAGCGTAGATGAGACGATTCTTAATCCTGGCTCTCACACTGGAACCCCACTCTGTCGTAAAGCCATTCGTACTTTGAACAATTCGACCCCGACTTCAATTTAGGAAGTAATGATCTGATTATCTGATACTGACTTCTTGACGTCTTCTTCTTGAAGAGGAGGATGAACCTGGAGAGAAAACTTGAACTTGTAATAGAGCAACTCCAAAGGACATCACAAGGAGATCCGGTAAGGATTGTTTGCAAGGCGTTCTGTTCTGTTTTACCCTGTGCCTCTCTCTATTTGCTCGAGACTTTCAATGTCCATCTAATTAAGGAACTCCAGCGCGCGATGAGTTCGCCCTGGGAAAACCCATAATTAAGGTAATGTGTCAATTTAAAAATAACTAAAGTTTTTTTTTTGCGAAATGGCCGTACGAAGTAAACAATTTAGAGCTCAAATTGAAATTCAACCCACTCAAGAATAATTGAATTTCGTAAAAAGCAACGTCCATTTATTTCGAGGTGATTCAAACGTCTGTAAAATAAAGTTTACTTCTTTAAAATAACTTTCATCATTGCATGTAAAAGAAGTAAATGTGATGCCTGGGCAAGTTTAATAAAGTTCCTGCAAAAAGTGATTTAATTTAAAAATTAATAAATAACGAAGTTTGGAGATTAAGATAAATGTTGCTCATTCTGTTGGTACAAAACAGACTTTATCAAAATTTTCACAAGAGAAGGAGGACAAGAGAAGATCGAAGGAAAGGGCGTCATTCGTCGAAGAGGACGAAGGAGCAAGCCCATCATCATCAGGTAACATTACTTTCTCTTTGTGAAAGGCTATTCTATTTTTTTTTTTTTTTTTATGATAACGTACATTTCAAACCGGAGCAGCATATTCTGGAACCGGATGTTCCAGAGATTTGTATAACTTAGAGAACGCACCGGGATTCGACGAGCTAACTTCTCTGTAAACCAAGCCCAATAACTTGTTAGCCTTATTAACGGTCACGATATCGCTTATTCCTTCCACAAAATTGAAACGTCTTTTCTTTTAGGTAGAATGTTAATTCCTTTATTTTCTCTCTCACCTGTATCCATTTAGGCGACAGAAAACTAGATAAGCTGGGAGAAAACCCCAATTACGCGAGGAATGATCTAGAAGAAATGAAAATTCAGGTAATTTTGTTCACATAACATGGCGAATTAAATCACCCTGACCTCTTTATGTCCAATTGGTTATATGTTTCGACGTTGCTGTAGTGAGACACAACTCATAATAGTACAATACTCTATACAACTTGTTCAAGAAAAGTTGGCGGGAAAAAGAATACGGCAACACGCGATCATCTCCAAAGACATTATAGATATTCGGTAGGTAGGTGTTAGGTATTTGATAAGTCAAATGAATAAATTAATTATCAAGTTCATCACACCTACTGTGGTTCATATTTACAGTGAATTCTGTACGATATTCCTTAAATGATGAGGCCAAGGAATCGTGACCAGAAAACTACTCCCATTGAATTTCGGGGTTGTCGCTCGCACTGTACCCTTTTTTTTGCCGACAACCTTGCAGACCACTTTGTGTCTGTGTTCTCCCGTAATAAATGCCTTAAAAATGTTTTTTCTCTATATGAAGACAGCTCTCAGTTTTTATATGTCCCAAGAAAGCGTAGATGAGACGATTTTTAATCCTGGCTCTCACACTGGAACCCCACTCTGTCGTAAAGCCATTCGTACTTTGAACAATTCGACCCCGACTTCAATTTAGGAAGTAATGATCTGATTATCTGATACTGACTTCTTGACGTCTTCTTCTTGAAGAGGAGGATGAACTTGGAGAGAAAACTTGAACTCCTAATAGAGCAACTCCAAAGGACATCACAAGAAGATCCGGTAAGGATTGTTTGCAAGGCGTTCTGTTCTGTTTTACCCTGTGCTTCTCTCTATTTGCTCGAGACTTTCAATGTCCATCTAATTAAGGAACTCCAGCGCGCGATGAGTTCGCCCTGGGAAAACCCATAATTAAGGTAATGTGTCAATTTAAAAATAACTAAAGTTTTTTTTTTGCGAAATGGCCGTACGAAGTAAACAATTTAGAGCTCAAATTGAAATTCAACCCACTCAAGAATAATTGAATTTCGTAAAAAGCAACGTCCATTTATTTCGAGGTGATTCAAACGTCTGTAAAATAAAGTTTACTTCTTTAAAATAACTTTCATCATTGCATGTAAAAGAAGTAAATGTGATGCCTGGGCAAGTTTAATAAAGTTCCTGCAAAAAGTGACTTAATTTAAAAATTAATAACTAACGAAGTTTGGAGATTAAGATAAATGTTGCTCATTCTGTTGGTACAAAACAGACTTTATCAAAATTTTCACAAGAGAAGGAGGACAAGAGAAGATCGAAGAAAAGGGTATCATTCGTCGATGAGGACGAAGGAATAAGTCCATTATCATCAGGTAACATTATTTTCTCTTCGTGATAGGCTATTCTATTTTATTTTTTTTTTATGATAACGTACATTTCAGCAAAACCATTACTTTACGAATGTGGGCAATCGAACAAAATTGCTTGCGCATTTAAACATCCTACCCTGTCCATTCTGAAATTCGAATGCGTTTCACTTATCGGTTGAAGGCTGGATTAAGATGAATCTTAGGTACATCCTTGGGATTGTTTAAAATCTTAGAATGAGATATCAGGGCCGTCATTTCGCTCTCAAAAATCTATCAACAAATTTTTTTCTAGCCAACAGAAAACTGAGTACTTCAGTGGAAGAAGTACAAATACATCTAACTCAGGGGGAGCAGGTATGGTGTTTCGCTTTTCATCTATCTAGTTTGAGCAAATCACAAATTTAACAAATCAAATTTACTATCCGCTGTTACATAGTGCACATTCACTGTTAAGTGTTAAGCGAGTCATAAGGGAATCACACTAAAGCCGTCAAATCATTTAGTAATAGGTGGAAGACGGCCTTTGTACTTCCTTGCGTGTTATTATTACTATTCAGTACGTAACCCTATCGGGTGGCTGGTAAGTTGGCTGATAATGTCTACGGTTGAGGGATTTTACGAAAAATGGATATTTGGCCGAGAAGCGAAGCTTCGTGGAAAAATATGAAATTTCTAGGACAATATCTCAGCGACACCTGTGAATTCACATGTGCTCTCACTCAAAGTATCGAACCGATCATTTGTAACAGCAGAGTACATAATCATTACGAAACATTTTCTCGGTGAGGCTGATACTAGTATTCATGATATTTTTATTTCCTTTCAACCCATCAGGCACAAGAAGAAACAGAGAATCATATCACCGGAACCTCTCAAATGCAAAACTTCCCACAGAAAGATGGCCAAGATAGTCACTTGTGAATTAATCGATCTTTTTGAGGAACTTCTCTCACGAAGGAAATTCTTTGCAGTGGAGGATATGTTGCTTTGAGTCCATATATGAATTGAATTTGCAGAAGGCGTGTGTTGACTGTGAGTGTGTGGGTGTATGTAGATTTGATATTGAAAATATTTAGAAATAATTGCAAATGATCTAATGATAAATCTCGCAACGTGATCGCATTGTGCCAACGTGCACAAAATTAATTAGCTCAGAGAGGAATTACTTCCTTGATCCCACGACTTCTTCAGTTAACGCGTCTATAAATTTCGCGATGTTTGGGGATTTTTATTGTAACTAGCAAAGGAAGCAGACAACACAAGGCATACTTGACTGATTATGAATGATAGTGCCGGAATATCTCTCTGCAGTTTTGATTCAGTGTGGAATGAAATAAGAAAGCAACTTCACTTTGATCAGTGTAATTACATTCAAATACTGCACGTACTTTTTCCAAATCGTTTTAATTCTTACCCTTACGAATAAAGAAATTGAATCATAGAAGACTAGTGGACCAAAAAAATATAACTTCGAGGTAAACTAGGCTCACTCAAGTTTGTATTTCAGTTTTTTAGCCTTAACAGAAAACATTAATATTTCACTGAATTTTTCCGTGGTGTCCAAAGTAAGATTTATACTTTCTTTTTATTGTTTTTTTTTTCGCCGTGGTGTACCTGAAAACTAGTTTTTGAATTAAGTGTGCGGGTTACTTAAATAAACTCTTAAACGAATTCTTGATCATGACCGTTTAAGCCAATTTTTAAATACACAGGCAACGTGTTTGCAGGAGGAAGTCTCCAAGACGTACAACTCATTTATTAAAAAGACTTGACCATGGATGTATTAAGTTAAATTTGAAGCTGATTTTTTGTACTTACCACGTTTAGCTCCATAATAGTGTTTTATCAAGAATACCTGAAGGATTTGAAGGTTAAAAATTGATGGCTTTATTATTATTGCGACAAGCTTATGGGGGTTGGCTCTTGAACACTCGCTCAAGCAACAAGGACCATGTTTGGGTTATAGGCCTGACCTGTTCTCTGTAGAACTACGTACTAACCCAAATATTTTTACCAGGTTTGCAAGAGTAAACAAAAAAATAAATGATGTTCTACGACTATTGAAAATAATGAAACACAATCAAGAACAGCGTTGGTGGTAAAAACCAAGACCACGAGACAAACCAAAACATGAACGCCACTAACAAAACCCAAACAGGAACCAGTTGTTCGTGTTGTTCATTGCAAACATACTAAATATTTTTAATCAATCGTGCAAAAGTATACAAGTTCGAATCTAGACAACTGGAGATAACACACTAATCAGGAAACGTAACGTGGGGCTAAATCTACAAATAAGTTGGTGATAAATATCTTCCATTTTACCAGTTGTTCGTCAATGTGTGAAGTTATCACGCAAATACCTTGAGTCGATGACCAAGACTGAGGGGAGGCGGTGATAATACCCAACTCTTTTCAACCACGCCCAACCAAAAATTTTATTTTAAGAAGAGACGGCCATCGGGCCTCATATCTAAGCTTAAGTCTCTTTTTTTTTTTTTTTGCTATTTTATTTTATAAGTGAAGGTTTTTTTTAGCTTTCAAAAAGGGCGGAATTTCTTTTCGCCCAAATTTTTCATTTTTACATTTATAATCCAATCTTCTCGGCTACTCTCGGTATATATACGGAACCAATATGCTGTTTTTGATTTCCACTTCAGCCATCTTTTGTCAAGGTTTTCCATTCCCAACAGTTCCATTAGTTCCATCAGCTCCTCCTAAGGTTGAACCGAAATATCGGCACGAAAGCTTTGGACATCCAAGTCTTTTCAATGCCGATACCAAATATTGTAAATTAATTTCTTTATTCGGGGTGGTATGGAAATTTTAGGATACCCTAAATTAAACTAATATAAGACACTCCCGGGAACAATATGATACTCGGGTGGCTAGTAAAAAAGGAAGTAAATCGAAGTGTTAACTTATTGCGAAATGAGCCCTTTTAGCACATTGATGCTGAAAGCAATGAATGAGGTGTTGTGGTGAAGCAGATGTTGACGGAGTTGTGGACCGTGAACGGAAGTAGTTTCGCATGCTACCCTTACCCACTTACTGAAAGTCAAAATTAATTTCGATGAAGCTCTGAAACTCACGTGGAAAGAAAACAAATGTCTGTATAGTTTAATTAAAATAATAACCTCAAATCACATTTCCGAAATTGAGGCTCGCTCGAACAAAAACAGCGGTACCAATCTGGTCAGTACAAAATGCAGACTGCAGACTGCAGACTGGGTATAAAGTGCAGACTGAGAATTTATACTGTTTTTCCGTCTGATACGTGATAACATGTCATCTTATAACTTACCGAACGTCACGCAACCGCTTTTCCGCGATCATCTTTCACGATTGTTTGCACTATTGAGGAATATTCTTTGCCCGTTTCTTGATCACAATCGTTCTTAATTTAATTTCAAACGCTCATATAGTCTTCCCACTTTGACCAAAACTGTTCCTTCGACTTGAGTCAGGGGTGTACACACACTGATTTTCATATGTTTGCCTAACATTGTTTTTGGCTTACATGAGGAACCGACGAATTTTTAAGGAAACAAACCACACTGATGCTTTTTGTTTTAAATTGCCATGATTTATCATGGCATAAACACCTGGTTTAGTTTGAAGTTGCCCCCGAGATCCTACACAATGATGATTTATATACCATCTTTAAGTCAAGCTATACAGTGAACAGCAGTTTATCACTTTGTATGGATGGTTTCAAAAATGCGTTATAGTTTGAACAGAGATTGGCTTGTAGGAACCGAGCTAAAATTGCATGTTTCGGTATCATAATACCGAGTCTAAAAAACTAGTCTATATTAGGCTGTTCTAGATTCTTCTCCAATTTGACTTTGTGTCATAGATCCCTTTTGGAGTGGGAGAATGAAGTCCGTTTCGCGATGAATTAACAGCATAGCAAGGCCACTTAATCGATCGTCTGTCATTGATGACCGAGTCCATAGCTTCAGACGGCGTAGGGCTTAGAAGGAGCGTTCATAACTGATGCGTCTGACAGGCGTGGTTAGAAAGATCGACAGCACCTTGTGAATGGCGGAAAATTTGTTGCGGACTGCAATCAAACATGGCTCCCTCTTGTTCTCCCTCTTGTTCTGACTCTGGCTCCGTTGCGTTTTTCCACCTTGCCAGCTCTGCGTCAAAATTAGACTTCTCCGAGAAATCTAGATGCTTGCTGAAGTAGTTCTTGATCTTCCCGTTATGCCTGTCAGTTAACTTAGGCAAGTGCAAAGGGAGCAGGTTTCATTCTTGTTTTAAGATCACCGACAACGTGATCTATAAATGGATAGAACACATTAATCCTGTAGTGTCTGATGGCTGATCGTTGTGTGCCGCGTTTGCTCGGTGGTGTTTAACAGTCGTTGTACGAGGCTTTACCAGGGTGACGTTGATAGACTCGGCTACCTGGTTGTTTCGACTCCACACCTTCTGCCAGGATTCCTCTCCTCTTGCCTGTTTAATGCATTCTTTGGCGAGAGTTACGTTTTGGTATGCATCGCCAAGGTTACAGCTCTTAACTTGAAGGGATTTTGTTACTTGTGTTAAAAATGACACAACAAACTGAGATATAGTCAAAGCGGCTATGAATTCAGAGGCTTGGAGAAGACGTGAATAAGCTGAAGCATCACGTTTAGCATTGCCACTGCTGATGACGACATTTCCTACCGAGCTAGAAGCACAGAGCCTTATTTAGCGAGAAGAGCAGAGAGGGTAGTAACTTTAGCACTCCAACGAGTAGCACAAAATTTCGGTACAGTCTGTCGCTAGCTTTCCTTTCCCAATGTTTTGGCAGATTCATCTCCTTCGTCTTCATCAGCACATTCAACTAGAGCGCTCAATAGTTCACTGACATCGGTGGCCGCGGCAGTCTGAAAAAATATTTCTTTCCTTTTGGCGCTGACTCTAAGAAACCGCGTAAGTTTGCTGACATCAAACAGATTTTGAATGGATTGCACAGCTTTGCAACCACTCAACATTGCAAGGTTCAAAACGCAGGACCTGCAGTGAACGCTTGCTACGTCATATCCTTGGCCAACTAAGCCGGACATATGAAGGCCCCATTCTTGTAGTGCGTGTAACAATGTATCCGCAGTGGTCTGGGCATCCAATTTTTTAAGCCTTACTAATCCAATGAATTCTTAATGAAATGCTCCTTTGTCCCAATGCAATGACTACATCAATAATAGTAAGGACGCCTTTCACTGTCCGATGCTGTTGCTCGGCTGCTTGTCTTTGTAATCTCGCGCTGATGTCATTGCCTTGGCAGCGTGTCTTTAGGAAGTTCGTTACCTTTTCCTCTGAAAGCTGGTATTCTTCACTACGCGCATGAGCGTCAAGACGCTCATCACCTGCTTTCTTCCAGTTTTTGAAGCCCTTTGAAATAAATGGCGATTCATTTGGACCGGTACTGTTGGAAAAACATTTACAACAGATACAGTGAGCTGTGTCCTTTCTAATGCTGTAGCATCTTTTTATGTCAAGATATCCTAAAAATGGCATGCTTTGTATAAGATACAAAGTGAAAATTGACTTATTGCACGCCAGGTCTAAGCGGATAAGGTTGACACAATCGTTCAGAGCATTTTCTATCAGATTTCTGAACCCTAATTGTCGTTGACAATAACGAAAACCGAGATGTGTTATGTGTTTAGCGTGCCCAAAAACAGAATGAAATGAAGAAAGAGTAAAAAATCTGAATTAGTATCAACTATCTTTCAAAACTTTGGTGCATGGACGGCTTGGTGAAAGAATTTGCATACCGGTGCCAGTTGCTGAAGTCTTGAAAGCCACTTAAAAATTTCCACCAGAACTTTATTGGGCCAGGGGTTTTCTTCTATCACGATTCCACCTAAAAGGAAAATACTTATGAAAATACCTATAAAAGAAAATTAATTTCTATGTAATCATCACAAGAAGATTTTGCAACTCAGCTTCTTTAGTCAATCGTATTAATAAGCCCTCCAAAAATCAGAGTACCGTTGACTAATGACGCTATTTTGTACGACGCTGCCGATGGTTTGCGAAAACCGAATCTGAATTCAAATGATAAAGTCTTTCAATTTAAACCTATCTTCCGTGTTAGTCGATTCCTCACATGTTTGGTTCTCATCATTGTTCTCATCGTTGTTCTCATCATTGGAGCTATCGAATTTTGAAAAGTTGAGCTTAATTTTCATGGAGTATTCAAACAATTGACGGTTAAATTGCCATGTTGTTTTGTCTAATCTACAAAAGTGTGTAATGGCTCACCGATTTTCATACTACAACGAGCTAAGAATGAACACAGCTACCAAGGTAACTTTTAAATGTATTAAATAACTCACGTTGTAGTTTGATACTTACCTTTTTTGGGGTCAAAGAAGTCCATTATACCTCGTTGAGCAGGAGCCGAGCGCTTTCTTCCCGACCCTTTTCCATCGGATTTAGAGGGAAACGTTTTGCAAACGTTGGCAAGAAACACACGTCAACTGTTTCCCGCCAAATTCTAAACCGCAGGCAGCCCAAATAACATAATAATTATTTTCATAAGAAAATTCGTACTGGCTTATGCCTCGAAAGATTTTCCAAAATAATAACTATTTGGAATTTACATTAAAAGAAGATTTTAGTTAGTTTGTCGGTCTTGTTGAGA